GGTCGGAGGCATTCCGGAGGCTCCCGCAGAGCACTGCCGGTGGCGGAAGACAGCTCGCGCCTTGCCGACCGCTGCCGGCCCTGAGCCCGCCTGGTGTCCACACTGACCTCCTCTCTAGGGCGTCTGGGCCCCCCCAGGCAGTGCCCAGGCAGAGCAGGGGTGGCCAGGAAGAGAGGCGAGTGGTTAGCGCCCGGTTGGCTGTCCCAGCGAGCAGGAATTGGGGAATGCTGACCGGGAGGTGTCCGGTGGGGACAGGGAAGGCATTTCAGCCTCCTGGGCCTCTGTGGCCTAGCCCCCGGGCATGGGCAGAAGGGGTGAGTCTGGCCTTGGAGCCCAAGGAGCCTGAAAGAGCTCCGTCCACACCAAGACAAAGACATTAAACTCGGAATTTCCAGTGTGGCTCTTTCCTTGGCAGAACCCCGGGCCTGTGGGTCTAGGTGTGCTCTGTCCCCTCCCAAAGACCCGCTGAGCCCTGCCCAGTCAGAGCCCACACCGGGGATGGGCCGGTCCTGGGAGAAGGGCGTGCGGGGTCTGGGACGTCAGGCCAACACTGCCTCCAAGAGAGAACGGGAGAGGACGCCAGTGAAGGATAGCCCTCCTGGAGAGTGCCACAGCCACGCGGATGTGCCCGGAGGGCTCTGCCCGCCCCTGGCCCGGGCACCAAGCAGGAGGCCACACGTGCTGCAGCCTGCGGCCTGGTTTCCAGATCACCTGAGTGGGCGGGACCCAGCCTGCAGGGCACACGCAGGCACAGCCAAGGACAGCTCGCAGAGCAGGAGAAGGCCGAGGCACAGGGGCCAGCCGGGGGTGGGGAGAGGCAGCTCTGTTCTCGCCCCCCCTGCCCCGCAGTTCAAGCGAGATTCTGTTCTGCAACAGCCGTTCAGGGCCCTGGTTCTGCTCCACCGACCAGATGCCCACAGGCCGGCAAAGCAGAGCCAAGCCCAATTACTAATAATAATTAAGTCAGTTGGCAGTGAGAATCCAGCAAGGGTGAGGCCCTGGGCTGAGCACATCACTCAGTGACCACGCATGATTGCACTTGAGGTTATTATTGTGGATGACGGTGTCTCCACAGAGCCCCTCGGCGAGGCAGCTCACTGCAGCACCCCCATTGCACAGATCAGGAAACGAATGCTGTGAGGAGTCAACCCACTGCCCACGGACAACGCTGGGACCAGTGGGGCAGGCTTGGAAATCCAGAGTCCATGCAGGTGACTGCTGACCGGATGTCCTAGTGTGCAGGTCAGTTGGCCGCATCAGAGTCACCTAGTGTGCTCGTGACAGACGCAGGGCCCAGCCCCACCCCAGGCCCATGGAAGAAGCATCGCTAGGGTTGCAGTTCAGGGAAAGCATTTCCTAACCAACTCCGAGCTCGTTCAGTCAGGAAGTTTCAGGAGCTCGGCACTGAAGCTCTGCTGGCCACCTCCCTCTTACGGAAGGAGCGACTCCCCCCAGGACACATTCTGCAAAGACGAAGGCAACAGTGGGGGAAAGCCGTGGGGGAAAGCCGGGCCCTGTCAGGGGTCTGGGAGACGCCTGCAGGTGAGAGCGCACGGCCCCTAAACGCACTGAGTGTCTGCCTCGTGCTGGGTATGCTCCTCACCCACAACCACCCGTTTCCGAGAACAGAACGTCGAGGGCCAGAGGGGCTCATCCCCTGCCCAGGCTCTCATGACCAGTCGGGGACTGGGGGTGGAATGCTGAGAGGGCTTCAGGATCCCCACCCCTGCCACGAGGGTGGTGTGGACTGCAGATGCCACAGGTCACTCCCATGGCCAGGCTATGTGGTGAGGTGTCGCCAGCTTTGGCGAAGAGAGAGCGTCTGGGTGAGCTTGACCTATCACTCCAGCCCTTGGCATTCGAGTCCAGAGTCAGAAGCAGAGGCCAGAGAGATTCAACGTGTGAGGAATTTAAGAGGAGAACGTCGCCATGGCCGGCTTTGAAGATGTAGGGGCCACCTGGTAAGGGATGCTGGTACCCCCTGGAGCTGAGAGCTGCCAGGGAAACAGGCTGTCAGTCCTAACGAGGAACCAAATCCTGCCGGCAATATGAATGAGTGTGGAGGAAAATTCTTCCCAGGAGTTCCAGACCAGAGCCTAGTCAGACTGGCTGACACCTGGTCATGAGATCCTGAGCAGAGAACCTGGCCGCTGCAGTCTAAGGCTGTGTCCCCCACAAAATGTATATTTTGAAGTCCTCGCCCCCAAGGTGACACTACCAGGAGATGGGCTTTTGGGAGGCGAGTGGTCACGGGGCACCTCGTGACCGGGATCAGTCTCCAGAGAGCGAGCTCGGTCCTTCCGCCAAGAGAGGACACAGCAAAAGGTGCCCTCTATGAATCAGAAAGCAGGCCCTCGCCAGACATCAGATCTGCTGGTCCCTTGATCGTGGACGTCCCAGCCTCCAAACTGTGGGGAGTGTCTGCTACTTATAAACCACCTGACTGGTGGTATTTTGTTGCAGCATCCCAGACAAGACACCAGCCAAGTCTCAGCTGGACGACCGTAAGCTCATAAACGGCTGTCCTTTTGGACACTCATGACACAGCCGTAGAAGGCTGACGCAGTGGCTAAATGAGAGCCTGAGCTGGGTCCGTGTGACGCCCAAGGCCCAGCTTTCCCCAGAGGGTGAGTCC